TTATTTATTATATAATTAAAATAAAACTTACTATAATATTATATATATTTTATAAAATTAATTTAAAAAATAAATTTTTAAAAATTTTAATTTTTCATAAAAGTAAATCAGAAGGGAATTTATAATAAATAAGTAGGCAAATTTACCTGTGAATTTCTACAGTCTAAGAATAATTTGATAAAAATCAAGTTTTATTACATATATTTTTTATCAAATAAATTAATGCAAATTAAATAATGTTATGTTTTTTTACTTAAAAAACTCATGTGTTTTTGGTATTTCCTTTAATTTTATTATTATTGATCAACATGATGCAGATTTAATCAATTAGAAAATAAAGTTTAAAATAATATAATTAATAATAATACAAATATTTATATACTTTTAATATATTATATTAAAATTAATAAATTAATATTAATTTTTTGATATTAAAATAATATTAATTTTATTAAATTTTAAAATTAAATTATTTTAAAATATTTAATTATATAAATAAACTAAAATATATTTTTATTAAAAATTTTATTAATTTAAAACTAAAATTAATTGAAATTTATAATTAATATAATAAAAACAAATAATAAGTAAAAGAAATATTTATAATTAAAATTTCATAATTAAATCTTTTTAGATTTAGTAAAATAAACATCTTAATTATAAATTTTTTATTTTATATAAAGATAAAGTCACATGTAATATAAATCCTAAATTATGATTGGCTAATATTAACACGTGACGATCACCAAATATTTTTTTCCCTTTTATTTAGATAACGATTTATAAAAGTGATACTAGAAAAGTATAAAGACAACGACAGAAACGAAATATTATTATATACATCGAATGTTTTTTTTTATTATTATTATTTATAAAAATTTAGAACCAAAGGTAAAGGTTCAAAATTAAAGTAACTTATGAAGGTAAAATAACAGGAATTTGGAGGTGATAAGTTGTAATAGGAAGTAGTTGGTGTAAGGTTCGAAAATTTTACCTATAACTTGCTTCTTGATCAGCCATTCTATTTTGTTGTCATGAATACAGGAATTTTCTTATTAAGCAAAGATTAGACATCATCACCAGGAGCTAGACCCCCGAGACCACTGATAGAGGGATCAATTTCAGAGCCATAATGATCGTCACATCCCTATTATTAGTTTTAAATTCTCAATAAATTTGCTCTATTATGCGGCGAGAATAAAATTTTTTTGATTCCATTGACTCAAATAGAAGGAATCTCGCAGATTCAAAAGTAAATGGTAAAGTAATGTGATAAATTTGAATAAATCATCAAAATTAAAAACGAAGTTATTATTTTTTAATTACCAAGACAACAATACCATTTCGAGGTGATGTTTCCACAAGGCGCGTTACATTTTGTTTAGGACGCACAAAATTCTCTTGTGATTTGCACATGATTCATTTTTTAAATTTCCAAAATTATACAAATGAAATGGTGGCAACATCGTTAAGTGCTTCTGAACAAATCTTTCCTAATCAAAACAAATTTAAATCATTAGTCAACTTTAGATAATCTACCACATGATGATTTGTTTGGATGCGCACTACACATTCGGATTTCAAGATTTTTCCATTTTTTTCAAAGTTCGAGACCATTTTTGTCATTGGACAGTAAACAATGTAATGTATTAGAAGTATTGCAAATTAAAAAAAACGTATATGGAGGAAAATCAGATTCTGAGAATTATTTTAACTTTTTAATCTAATTACATCCAAAACTAAAATGCAATAAAATTAAAATTCGTTAAAAATTCTCGGAACCTGGTTTTCCTAGCAATCTTCCCATATAACATCTATTTTAATGTAACCGCCCGATATAATTGAGAAACCTTTAAGGCAAAACTATAAATTCCTAATGAGCGAATTTTTTTTTGTAAATATGACTAGTTATGTCTAGACTTCGACAAATAACGGTTTAATTGACACTTGTTCTAGATGGTCTTTTTTTTGAGCCCATACAGAATTTAATATCTTATATAATACTGTATAACAATCTTAATAAGGCTTGGCCAATCAAATTCTGCAGGTTGTATTTTATCCATGCGTAGTAATTTCGGGGGTGCATATAAGGATTATAAGGATTATTTTTATTAATTAATTGTGGCAAACATGTGACGTATAGTGGTGACAAATATTTTATTTATTTTCTTTTTTGGCATTACAAATCCGCAGAATTATAACGTTGATGAGAATTTCTAATATACGTCCTATTAAACGATGACATTCTAATCTTTTTTTTGTGTCCATAATCTAAATGACATTAATTCGGGTCTAGATACTTTTAAGTCTTCTTTGAGACCCGTTCCTATCATATTTTTAAATTCTTCCTTAGAAACTCCTATTTCAGAACTTAAATTTTCAATTGCCAATTCTGTATTACAGAGCATAACAAAACTCTCGTGACAAACGATGCCAATTTTGCCACCATTGGGTCCAATAATTAGCTCTCTTTCATCCCTATGAATCGTTGTTACGTTTGGTTGTGATTTAAGCATGGATTCAAGTTCATACGTCACATTTATATCCACATTTTGCTTTAAAAGGAAATTACGCACTGTTTAAATATTTTAATGTGATTAACGTTAATTTAAAAAATAAAAAAAGTTTGGAACTTAGCTAGTCTGATAAAACGTTGAAAGCACTTACTTCCTCCATATATTCTGTGCAAAATTGGTCCAAAACCATTAAACGTAATATTCAATTCAGCTAATTCAATGTATCCACCTGGCTTCGTTACCCTGTAATAAAAAAATTTCATAATGTAAGAAATCTATAAAGCAAAACATAATAAAATCAATAAAAATATATTCAAACCTAACGATTTCGGATAAAACAAATTCCCATTGATTTCTTTGTAAAACATGACTCATTGAATCTTGACGCACAAAATCAAATTCATTATCAGGAAATGGTAATCCCTCTAATATATCCGCTTTGGTAAATTTTAAATTTGGTGGCTTTATCTGTCAAATTTATTTTTGTATTAATTCTTAAATCGTATATATAATTGCTTCTTATCTTATCTTCTTACCTCTTGTGGATATACTTCCTGAAAATCGATTCCAAAAAAATGAGAATTGTCATATCTGGTTGATAGATCTAATAACCACGCTCCAGAACCGCATCTTCAATATAAAAAGAAAAAAATTTAAACGCAAGGTAATTTTCTAAATTGTAACTTGATTTCTTCACTTACGCAATATCCAATACTTTATATCCTCCTTGAATTAATTTTTCTTCAATTGGTGCGGAAAAATTACTGTCATATATATATCTTTTAACAAAATGGTACATTTGAAGTCTATCATCTGCGCTAACATCATTTGACATATAACGGTTTAAAATCCTCTCTTCTTTGGATTCTTTTTGCACGTATTCTGGTAATCGTGGTGCCTTTAATATTTTACTTTTTATGCGTGAAACGTTATTACCCATAATTGTAAATTCTTTTATTAGGAAAGATTATAAGAAATTTATTAAAATAACTAAGAGATATAGATATTCTTAGAAAATAATTTTTAGGGAGAAATGATTATTTTAAATTTTACATACAAGCAAAGTTTTCGAATACATAAATAACTTTTTTTTAGTGTAATGGAAAGATGGCATAAGGACAATTACATAAGGTTTTTAGTCAACGTTAAAGTTTACCAGATTTTTTTCCCGGATTTTTCTGTATTTATTTATCATGTTACATGATCATTACTATAACAGTTTTTTCTTTTTAGGAAATCTTTAACATAATGAATTCTGCATACTGTATATCTCTCATATTGTTTTGCATATACAAGTTAAGTGATCGGCCGATTTTTTTTTTATTGATTGGGTAAATCATTTATTTATAAATTTAATTTATTAAAATCTTGCGAAAAATCAAGTATTGTAATATGTAATGCTCCGAGCCGATCGAATCGTCAGGGTCAGGATCAACCCGGGTGACCCGGGTCGACCCGGATTATCAGGTTATCTGATATAAATTGACGCGCTAGACTTTTTTTTTTTTTTACGTTACGCGATTTAGTCTGTAACAGTTACCGATAGTAGAAAAGAAAAGCATTGAGAGTGAACTTTTTGCCAATAACTTTTGAAGAGAAAATTCTTCCACCAGAACATACACATTCAAAAACTCATTGTGAAGTTAGTTGTCTTAACTGCTTGTATGTATTTTTTAAAAAGAAAATATAGTTACTTTTTATATCCTTTTTTTAAAAAATTTTTAGATGTCATAAAACATGGCTCCGCAAGATTGGTGAATCAAATCTTTGGTGTTACTTAGAACGTCATCACCCTCACAAGCATCCAAAAAGGTAACGTTCTTAATAAATGAAGGACAAAGTACATCAGATAAATTCATTAATGTATCAACTGAGTTATGTATTATATAATATCAATTTTTTTATATCTATTAATTTTAATATTTTTTAATTACCAATGATCTCCCATTTACAATTCTAGAAAACAAGTATTTTCAACAATAATAAAATTCTTAAATTCAAATGCATATTTTTGGTAAAAAATATAATATTAAACAAAATGAAGTGGAATTATATATAAATCCTTATGAACATTACGAAATTAAAATATTCTTCTTTGGGTATTTAAAGCTGCTAAACGAAACTTAGAAATTTTACAAATCGTCTAAATAGTAAAAGGTAAAATTTAATATTAAACCTTATTAAAAATCTGTGAAACTCAAGTAAAGATAAAACTATATCAAACTTATAAAAATGGTAAAACTATATTAAAATCTTATAAAAAATTAGCTAAACTAAAGATTTAGACATTTTGACAAATCTAAAATGAGTTTAAACAAGTAACCTTATATATATTTAATGATATATTATAATTTATTTAATTTATTAATTCAATTAAATTATATAATTATATGAAACTAAATATTCATATTTAACTAAAATGGCTAGAGATTATCTTATAATTATAGGTAAAAAAAATATTGGTTATTAAACATTAATATTTTTTATAAAGCAATTAGAATACTTGTAAAAGTTTTTACTAATGAAAATGATTTATTATTAACCTAAAGGAGCGATCTTAAAACTGATACAATTTGCATCTATATATTTGAAATTCTAGTTAAAAAAATGTAAAAAAATAATTAGTATTGATGCTTTATAAAAAAAAGTAAAATAGATTTTAAAAAAAATTAAATAAACTTTATATAATACTATTTTTATTTTCAACTTTAATATTACTTTTGAAAATTTAAGTTGAATTTGAATTAAATAATAATCAAATTGAATTAAATTAGAGTTAACTAATAATCAAATTAAATCAAATTTAGTTTTTATAATTTTTAATGAATTTAAATTCAAATATATTTTAAATTTAACTGAACTAAATCTTATATAATACTAGTCATATAATCTTAAAAACTTTTTTGGTTAAAACTTAATAATTGAATTTATAATTTTCAAAATAAATGAATTCTAAATTATTTATATAAATATAATATGAAATAATTTTTTAAAAATTTCAATTAATTTTTATTTTAAAAAAAAATTCTTTAAAATTTTACATATGGAAAGCAGTTAATAGAAAAGGAAAAATCTATAAATTTTAAGAAATTTTAATTATTAAGCTAATTTTATTGATCGATAGAATAAACCAATAAAAATTTTTAACTAAAAGTAGATTTTCTCATTTTTACTGACCACCTATTTACTTAATATACTGTATTTTTGCTAAAAAGATTTATTTATAAATTAAATTTTATTGTTTAAAAATCTACTTGCTTATTATATATTTTTTTCTTTATTTATATTATATATTTGTTTATTTATAATTTATTTTTTTTTTTTAAAAAAAAATATATTTCTTAGGTAATTATTCTTTTAGTTATATTATTTGTTACTTATTATATTATTTTTTGTTTTTTTTTTATTTTTATTCTTTAGTAATATTTTTCATTTATTTTTTATTAAGTTATTCTTTATTATTATTCATCATCTTTATTTTAATCATTATTTTTCATTAATATTTTTTATAGTTATTTTTCTTTATTATTCATCATCATTATTATTTATATTTATTCTTTATTATTATTTTCTATTATTATTTTTCTATTATCTTATTATATTTTTATTTCTTTTTTATATTCTTTTATTCTTCTTTTATCTCTAATAAATAATTCTTTATAAATTAAATATATTTCATTAAAAGTATTACTACATTTTTCTTTTTTTTATCTTTTCTAAATATTCTCTTTTTTTAAAAATGTTTTATATTTTCATTTAAATATTTTAATTTATTTTTTTAATTAAAATCTTTATTATTTTTTTTATTTTTTTTTAATATTATATTTTTAAGTATTTTTATTTAATAAAAAAATTAGTATTATAATTAAACATAATAACAATTATACTTTTAATATTATATTTCTTCTTTAATTATAAAGTTTTTATTATATAGTTAACTAATTTAAAAAATAATATTTTATTATAATAATTTAAGTCAATCTATTATTTTTTATTATTATATTATAATCAACTCTTAATATAGTGAATTCTTGATATAATGAATTTTTTAAATAAATATAATAAAAATACTCTTGTTATAGCGAATTGACCAATTAAATCTTTTAAAATAATTATTATAGCCTTATAACGAAGTTGGGATCTAAGATATAGAGTTCGTTTTAATAAGAGTTGACTATATATCTATTTTTAGATTTCTTATTAATTTCAATTTTTTTTTGATATTTTATATTTTTGTTTTCTTATATTTTTAATTTTTTATTTCTATTTATTTCTATTTTTACTTCTTTCTAATATTTTATATTCTTATAACTAAAGATCATTATATTATTATAATATAATTACTATTTTTAAATATTTTTTTTTTCTTTTAACTTTTATTAATTATTTTTTTATCTTTTCATATTTCTAATAATATATATAATGATTTTTCTTTATTTTTCTATACAATTTATATTTTTTTTCATAATTTTTATTAATTTTTTTTTGGTAATATAAGTTATATAAATATTTTATAACTTCATTTCTTTAATTTCTTTATTTAAGTTTTAATATAACCTTCATATATATTTGTAAATTATTTTCTTTTTTTATTCTAAAGATTATTTTATTAATTTTTTTCTCAAGACTTTAATAGTTTATTATTCTATATTTTGTAATCTTTTATCCTATAATTTATTTGTATTACTTTATATGAGATCTTTATAATAGAAAAGAAAAAATACTAAAAAATAAAAATTTTTTATATTATAAATAAATAATAAAAGAAAATATTATAATTTATTAATTATTATTATATATATTAAATTTTAAAATTTAAATTTTACTTTTTATAAATTAAAACATTTTAAAAAAAATAAGCTATTAAAAATTAAAAATTTTAATATTTATTTTAAATAAATTTATAAATATAAAATAAAAATCTATATTTAAGTATAAATTTATAAAAAAAAAATAAAAATTACATATTAATTTCTGAAATTATATTATTATTATTATATAATAATAAGTTCTATAATAATAAATTAAAATTATAAAATTAAATATATCTATTTATAATAAATTAATATTAATCAATTTCATAGATTATATTTGTTCTTTTAATTCTAGATAATTTTTCAAATTTTTCTATAGATCAGATTTTTAAATCATTATATAATATTTTATTATTTTAATTATTATATAAATCTTTATAATAAAAAGTAAAAAATAATTAGAAAAAATAAAAATGAACTAATAAATTTGAACTTAAAATTTATATTTGATATTATTATACAAGAGAAGATATTAATAATGACAATCCAAAAGAAGATGACAATCTTTAAGAAATCTTTTATGGTTTATATATCTTCTATGTTATTTATAACATTTATTTCTTCTATGTTATATATTATTTTATTTATTTTATATCATTTATATCATTTATTTATTATATTATATTTTATTTATTTCTTTTATATCTTTTATTATATTGATAATTTTATGTATTTTATTTTATATAAATAAAGAATATTTTCTTTTAATTTTGCAATATATCTAAAAAATAGTTTATTAAATAGTTTACTTTAATTTCTTTAATATACTTGTATAATACAGAATGCTGATTGAGGTAGTATTTCAGTGTTATTATTATAACTGATCAATACTTTTCTAAAATTAATTATAAAATCTTCTATTTATCATTTAAAAATATTGCTTTACTTATCATTTATAAGTAATCAAAAAAACTGACTGTAATAATATATAAAATAAATTAAATTTTCTAATAGTTTTTTGTTTTTTTATTTTAAAATTTTATATAAATTTTTATAATATTTCATTTTTAATAACTTGTATTATACTTTTAATTTTATTTTAGCAACTTATTTATTTTAGTTTTTAAGTAACTATTTTATATATTTTTTATTATAATTGATTTCTTCTAATATTAATATTAATACT